ATGGACAAAATCCTGGCCCCATGGAATATCCCTATTATGACTCCTACTAAGACCAAAAAAAAAAAAAAATCTGAGAGCTGGGGGCTCACACCTGTAATCTTAGCTACCAGGAGGCTGAGGTTTAAGGACTGCAGTTCAAAGCCTGCCCAGGCAGGAAAGTTCATGATATTCTTATTTCCAATTAGATCACAGAAAAAGCCAGAAGTGTTGTTATGGCCCAAGTGGTAAAGTACTAGCCTTGAGCAAAAGGAGCTCAAGGCCCAGAGTCTAAGCCTCAGAATCTGAAAAAAATCCCCCAACAAATCAGATTTCTGAATTATGGAAAAGGAATAACCAGAGTGAAGTGATATTTAATTTGGTGATGAGGAAAGAGAAAAACAGAGTGGGTTATGGAAAGAGCGACTGATGTGATAATTCAGTCTATGCCCAAGTAAAATCAAACTTAAAAAAAAATGACCAAAGGTAATATGAGTTTAAATGTAAAAAAGTAATAGGAGGGAAGCAATACCAGAATGACATTTAAAATTTATAAAAGCATCATGCAGACACAGTGGAGAGAAAGATGTGGTTAGAACACATTGGGTACTTTCTAAAGATCTACAGGCATATTCTGTTTAAAGTTCTTTTCAGCGTCTCAAGTTCTATGAAATTTAAGATGCTTTAATATTGGTTCAGTTCTTTCTGTATATATATCATAAAAATGTCAAGTGTGTTGACCCTTCCAAAAAATTGCATTTCACTTTGCAGAGAAAATAAAAACGTCCCACTTTCTAACTGTGCAAACACTTTATACGGGCGTCACTTGACTCTGTTTTGACAGATGCTTTGCGTTTATCATTGGAGAAGTTCCTCATACGACATAATTCTCTCCCTACCCTCCTTCTAGTCAAGGGATGCTAGCATTATTTTAGAATTATTCAAATTTCAGAGGCTCTTAATAAACAGCCCCCTAACTGTGGGTCATTTAATGCAATGTAAGAAATAAAAGGCTTTTTGAGAAAGTCAAGAGACAGGAGAATGTTTTTAGATGGAACCCCTTAACTTGAAAATCAGTTCCATCCAGGAATGGAGAACTGACATTCAGAGAATGTTTGCTGAGTTGAATTGCCTTGGGTAAGCAGCAAGAACCATGTTATACAGGGGGGAAAACGGGTCTGAAGGACTTACAATGCATTTGTATTGTGTTGTACTTTACTAAAGGCACTCACCCAATTTAGTACACATAGGCGTTAAACCCCATCGCCCTTATCTGTAGAGTAAGGAAAAGATGAGAGCCTGATGTGCTTGAAACACAGTGAATTAGTGCTCAGCTGCCCTTTAAACAACAAATCTGTCGATAAAGGATGAAGGAAATCTAACACTTAACAATAAACACATTTGGGTTCACGGACAGGTTATTTTTTAAGGACAGAGGAAAAAAAATCAGAAAATCCATCAGCAATCTTGGGACCAAAAAGGTTTCATCATATAGAGAAAGCTTTTATGTGCTATTGTTGTTAGTGTAAACTAGCTGAACTTTTATGGAAGAGAATTTATGGCTATCTATTAAAAGAAGAATGAATATCTTGACCTGGCTTTGGCTATCCTTTGCTCTTGGGATTTACTTCTACAAATGTATTATTACAAGAATACTGGGCATAGGGATCCATAAGGAAAAGGATTTATAAATGCATGTGTGTTCACTGCAATGTTTTTAGTTACAGATGAGAACTTACAATAACCTAAGTGTTACCAACAAACTGCTGGACAAACAAATTATGGGTTATCTGTGTAGGGATGATTTATAAAGACAACTAAACAATAACACTAATCTACATGTTGACATGAAAAGATGAGCTTCATGGTAGGCTTTACTGTGTGTAAAAATATTCACTCAAGTTTTGGTGATGACGAATTCTGGAAAGTATATCTGGTTATCTGTTTCACTTAGTTATTTCCACCATATTCAATTTTATAATTTTATTTTTTTGGGTCCAGTCGTGGGCCTGAACTCTGGGCCTGGGCGCTGTCCCTCAGCTCTTCAGCTCAAGGCTAGCGCCCTACCCCTTGAGCCACAGCACCACTTCCGGCTTTTTTCTTTATGCTTATGTGGTGCTGAGGAATTGAACCCAGGGCCTCATGCATGCAAGGCAAGCGCTCTACCACTGAGCCACCTTCCCAGCCCATCAATTTTATAATTTTATAAATTAAAAAGTAATTTTAAAATTCTGGCTCCAAACGACTTTGTAACTTTAAAAAATACACCCAGGAAGTGAACTGGTGTTCTAGGTTGCGATGGTTCTTATGATGGAGTACAGTACTGGTGCTCAATAAGAGAATGAATGGGTTAGGTGGACAGCTTTGCTGCTTCAAGAAAGAGAGATAGAAGGCCATTACATTCAGATCTTCTGCCCCACATTTGAGTCAGTAGGTCAATGAAGAGTTTATCATGACCACATTGATAGGGCAGATTTTGTGTTAAGGAAAGATTGGTTTTATTTGCATTGGAAAAGAATCCTTAGTGATTCTTTACCATCAGATTCTTTGAGCATCTGTCTCATAAGGATTAGAGCTCACAAAGTAGAAAGGAGGGAGTCTTGGCAAGTTCTCATCTGGCCCAATTAATTCAGTTGCCGAACCTCGTCAGCAACATTCCCATAATAAGGAGCTCAGATGCATGCAAGCCTGCTGGGACAATGCTTCCATTTGCTCCTTGGTAGTTCTTTTCTTATGAACTGTAACAAGTACAACATTTCTCAAAGACTCAACTGGACTCTGTTGCTTTAATGGACTGACTAAGTGCATCATTGGTGTGGAATCAAAGACCTGCCATGGACCCCAATTTCTATATGGAGGTTCTGTGTGACCATTTGGCAAAGATCTCTACTTCTCTCTAAATCTAAGCTTGTTTTCAATCTGGGAATTATAGTTTTTTCTTATTGAATGGCTTTCTTTTATTTTTCCTCTTTGGTGGTATTGGTGTTTAAAGTCAGGGCCTGGACTCATTGGGCAAGTTCTCTGACACTTGAATTATTCTTCCAGTCTTTCATTCTCACTTTTTATTTTGGCTTTTAGGCTTTTTTTAGATAGGCTCTTGCAACTTTATCCAAGGCTTGACCTGCATATGGCCTCCCATGTGTCTGGGAACACAGATACAGGTTACATAACACTTAGTTTATTTGTTAAGATGGGGTCTTGCTAATGTTTTTACCTGTGCTGGCACTAAACTATGCTCCTCTTAATCTCAGTTTCCCTTTCAATCTCTGCCTACTGAGTAGCTGTCACAAACATGAGCCACAGTGCCTGGCATGAGGGCCTTTAAGAAGATGAGAGCTAGGCATGGTGGCCACACTTTTAATCCCATCACTTGGGAGGATATTAGTTCAAGGCCATCTTGGGTTATATAGTAGAACCCTATCTCACAAAATACTTATCACAAAATATGCCTGTAAAATGCTCACTAAATATCATTACACTTTTCTAGACCTTTTCTTTTCAGTATTTGATAGAAATAGGGAGGGAAATGATATAAAACAGCAGCAAAGAGATGAGATGTCCATGGACTGTGAGCATTAGGACTTCAATCTTGGCAACCCAACCATCTTCTCTGTGCTTTCCCCAATAGAAATAAGGCACAAAACATTCCAGTGGTGTGTGTGTGTGTGTGTGTGGTGTGAATTTCATAGTATTAGTTTGTAGACAGCAAAAAGTCTGCACCTTCACAATTACAGACAGTTGCTTATAAAAATGCCCCTAGGTATTGAAGGTCAAACCACTTACCTGGTAGGGAAACAAGGAAACAGCTCCCTCTGGAGCTCCTCTCAGAACTGGTCTTCTTGGTGGGTCCTAGTAGATTAAACCACTGTCACAAGAAGCAGAAGTCTTAGCCAGCCATTTGGCAACTTTTCTTTGGGTTCATGAGTGCCTGTGGGTCTGGGTATATATCATTCCTTAAGATATAAAGCAAAAACCCTATGTGATATGGATGATCCAGAGGGCTCATCCTTCAGCGTGTACTGTTTTGAAGTCAGGGACCAGTTTCCATCAGTGCTTTGCCCTATTTGGGTCACTCTTGCCATAGGGTAAGCTTGTACTCACCATTTATACACTACGTGGAATCAGTAGACTAGGGAGATTTAGGATCTAGGGTGAACTTATCTTGCCCAGCTCTTGCTCACTGTTAACTTTCAGCCTCTTGGCAGTTGTATCTCTCAAGGTGTTAGTTCTAAGAGATGCTTCTTACACTGTTCTCTGAAACTCTAGGTTTGCATGCAGGGCTGGGGACTGTTTATTTTACTTGAGTCCTGGTCTCCATCTTCTTGCAAGCAGAGCAACAATAGTTTAAAAGATCATGTTCTGTTCATGACTTTCCCTCAAAGACTTGCTTTGGTACCGAATACCTGAGTAGAGAAAACCATTGATATAATAAAAATGGCCCTGAACTGCAGGAAGAAGTCTATTGTAACAATACCATAATGTAGTGGCCTTACCTAGTTATTGTTGGGGTGGAGAGGGGGAGGAAGGGAAAGGAGAGGGAAGGAGAGAAGAGAGAATATTCAGAGAGAAGATCGCGGCGTTACAGGAGAGCATGCCTGGCTGAGAGGTGCCTTTTGGTTCGCTGTGGAACGCACAGCTGTGGAGACAGCTGTATCAACAGAACCACAGTGCCCTGCATGGTGGGCTGTAACCTCCCTCTGGGTACAGCAGGGTGTGAGGAAAAGAAACTGGACATGGAATTTGAAGACTTAGGTGTGAGTCTCAGTTCTGGACAGGATGCTTCACCCCTCTGAATCACTATTTTCCTAGCTGGAAAACAAGAAAATATTCACTATATCAGCCTACTAAGCAAGCATTTTGTGTGCTTTAAATAAGGTTTGAACTCAATTTTATAGAGAGCCCCATAAAGATGTAAGTTGGATTAAGTAGCCATTTAGATTCTTAAACCTCCAAAACCAAGTTGAGATCATTTCTCTAATGGATGAACAGAAAAAACTTAGTGAATTATCAAATGAAGCGCTTTACTATGTTCATATAATTTTTCAGTATAAATCTGAACTACAAAAATGATTGTTATCTGGTACCAAATTCTGGTAAATGACATATAAAATGAACCACGTATAAAATAATGAGCTACATAAAAATTATCAAGGTGCACATAATTATACATGAAAAAAGATATATGCAGTACAAAAATTAATTATATGTGCTTTCATAAAAGAAAACAATTACTGTAGTGGTAACTGATCTTTTAAATGTATATAGTAATATCACAAAGCTTCATGAAACTCCCTAAATCCAGAATTAGATGCTATTCGACAATCTAACAAGCAGTGCATGCTTTACTCCCATTTCACACATTCTGTTGCAGAGTTGGGCATCCCACGTCTCTACTCAGGTTGTGCATGTAGACAAAGAAGACCATGTAGCTCCACTTCCTATAGAAAATCATCAACTTTTCTGGTTGGGAAGTTCTCTAGAGAAATCCTCTTCATTCTCCTCTGAGCAAGACAGATTCAGGACATTCATCACAGGATGGATCCAAGAGGTGGTCTGTGTGACATGACTTGAGAAGGACAAAGAATAAAAAATTAAAATCTGAAAGACTGTGTTTTCTATCCAGACATGTGACTGTTGCATGTGTGTATGGATACTATCGTTTTTTTTTTCCCGGTCGGTCCTGGGGCTTGAACTCTGGGCCTGGACGCCGTCCCTCAGCTCTTCAGCTTAAGGCTAGTGCTCTACCACTTGAGCCATAGCACTACTTCCCGTTTTTGGAGTGGTTTATTGGAGATGAGAGTCTCATGGACATTCCTGCCGAGGCTGGCTTTGAACCTTGATCCTCAGATTTCAGCCTCCTGAGTAGCTAGGATTACAAGCATGAGCCAACAGTGCCCGGCAATGGATCTTACTGGAAGGCTTGAGGAAACAGTTAGAACTGGATCCAATAGTATTAGTATGTCTTAGATATGTTTTAAGGCTCAGTGACAATTATTTCTTTCTTCTTTTTTAGGTATTAAGAAGTGCTGGTGAATGCATCATCTTTGACTCTTTCTCTCCCCCACCCTCCACTTACCTTATACTGTCAATCAACAAATCTTGACTTTAGAATTTCTGAAATCTATTCCTTCCTATCTTTGTTTCCCTCACTGTAATAGCCCAATTCACTGGATAGCTCCTCTATGATTTTATTCTAGTTCACCTCAAATTCATTCTCTACTCCAGAGTAGAGATTTCCTTTAATGACAAATCATATATTGTCACCTGGTAGAAGTTCAGTTGCAACCAATACCTTCTGGATCAAATACATACTCTGTAGTGTAAAGTACCTGATCTCTTATCTCTGATCTCAACAACACCTTCCTATCTGTCCCTCTTCTGTTCCCAAAGATGTTAACTCACACTAATGCTGAAGAATCAAATCTTCTTCCAATATGTGCCCATGGTCTTATCACTTATTATTTTGTATTATAAATGCCTGTTAACTTTTAGGTATTCTCATTACATATGAAACCCCTGGGGACAGGGACTATATTTCTTATCTCTGAATTGATGGTGTCTGACATGTTCATAGAACATGGCATCTGAAGGAAGAATGCAAGTACAGAGGAGGAAGGATGTGGGAAAGAAACTGGGAGTGGTTGAACAACATAACCAACATTACCAACCTAGTAAATGGTATTTCTCAGACCTCGTATCTTACTGCCAGCCTTCAGCTGGATGGACAGTTTCACCCTGGAAACTTTCTAGCCATGGCTTAGCCCACTGCCCACACACACCCTAGATCAGTTTTCTCAGCCTCTGTCTTAATAACCTGAATCTCAGAAGCAGCATTATGTCTTAGAACATCTAAAGGCCAGTGTTCATGAAAATCAAGTAAGACTGTGGATCTGGAGGAATCTCAAACAAAGTGTGTTCTGAGAGGTTTAATAAAATACTATGAAAAACAGAATATTTCAGATTTACATATAAATTGGTTTTGTGTGTGTGTATGTGTATGTGTGTATATGTATGTGTGTGTATATGTGTTGGTCGTGGTGCCTGAACTCTGGGCCTAGGTGCTGTCCCTCAGCTCTTTAGCTCAAGGCTAGTGTTTACCACTTGAGCCACAGCTCCACTTCTGGCTTTTTCTGCTTATGTGGTGCTGAGGAATTGAACCCAGGGCCTCATGTATATAAGGCAAGCATTCTACTACTGAGCCACCTCCCCAGCCCATAAATTGGTTTCCTTTCACGCTGGATTTCCTGGTATCTTTAATACACTGATGTGCTCTATAAAATTTCAACAGTATATAATGTTAAATAACATGCCACTGTGAGCTAGTGTGGTATAGAACACAATATAGGAACTATCACAAAAACTCACTCACTTTAGTGGCACAGTGCCAGCCTTGAGTGAAAAAGCTAAAGGACAGCATCCTGGCTCTGATACCATCCCCCTCCCCCAACATAAATCAAGCTGAAGGTGATAAGATGCAGAGAGCTTCACGGTTTCAAAACCTGGATGTGGTTAAGTGGTACAAAGAATCGTTACTTTGACAACTCATACTACTATTTTCTCTTTAAAATGGTTTAAAGGAATTTCTTGTTATGAATGCTAACCTTATTACAGCATTTAATTGAGAATAGGTTAATTTCATTTCAAGGTCTTTATAAACCTGGAAAATTGCCTAAATTGAAAGTGTTTTTTAAGAAACACAAGTGCAACCTCTGAAAGCTGTGAAGCCATGTAAGGTGAAATGAGGACACTGTAACCCAAGCAAAGTACAATACGAAAAGGAAGACTCTGGATGACAATCTTACTTACTGTAAAATCTTATTATCCAAGATCTTAAACCTTGGGTTTATCAGTACATTTAAAATATGCTAATCCAAACAAGAGACTCTGCCAAATTACTTTAAATCCTCCCTCCTCTATAATATTTCTTAATTGTGGAGGCTAGGAAACAAGAAAATCAAGAATGATTACTGAGTGATAAGTTCAGGCGCAGGTTTGCTGGTAGGCTTTAGACAAGTAATATTCTCATGCTTGAAACAGCGTAACTGCCCCAAATATAGACAATCCATTAAATTGGTAATTTAAAATAACCAAAAGGAAAATGCCTAAGAAAAACACAGGGACAGACTCTGTATAGTGAATGTCAGAAAGTTCCACCAGGAAGTCATTCTTGCCAATACCATTCATTAAGCACTTTTTCACCAACAACTCAACATCAGACCTTATCCTACCTCCTAGAAAGGTAATAACCATAAAATTGGATTAATCTTATCTTCACAGTATAGTATTCTGCACAAACTCACACATACAAACACACATATACATACACTAAAATTGCTATCAAACAAATAATTCTAACAGTTACTCACTACACACAATAAAACAAGGGCAGCAGAGATATGATTTCTGTGCTTTAAGAACACATTTCATCCTTTAATCTTTGCTAAAAAACCTTTAGACCAATGTGACACCTTCTGTGACCTATGGGATGGATATATGTAGTGTCTGGCAAGAGGCTCCTCACTAAATGATCACAGCTAGCTTTATTGAAAAAGAGTTCTCTGATTATTATAAGAAAAACTTGGAATTCTGCCTAAGATGCTGGAATGGGGCCAGTATTGAGTATTCCATTCAATTTTATGTGTTAGTGAGCACTGTTACTAAAGAGCTTTGACATACATAACCGGTATGATGAGATAATCCCAGATTTACTGGCTTTGTGAACATTTTAGTATTACAAATATTTCCTCTCTGGTTTGTATGCTTGATAATTCACCTGAGAAGAGAGAATAAATCAGTCCCATTGACTTTGTTTAATTAATAAAGAAGTCATGGTTCATAAAGGGAGATGTTGCTATTTAGAATGAAAAATGTAGAGGGCTGGCAAGTAATGAAGTTGCCTCTGAAGCATGAAAACCTCTCATTTGGACAGACAGTACCTCTGGCAAATGTTCCTGCAGAGACACTGCATCTGACCTGATTTGAAGAACAATGAACAGTAGTTCAGATATATTTAAAAAAACCTGAAAAGTATAATATTTGTCTTTGAATGGTTGCCAGATCTGTTGTTGGAAAACAATAATATTCTGGTTGGGGAGATTGACAGTATTGTGTGTTTTCCTAGAATAATATTATCCAATTGAAAGACATATCTCAGTTTATAAAAAACTGAGAGAACATGTTTTATTTTATTGGCAAAGAAATGTAAGTGAATTATTTAAATCCCATTATATTCACTCTCCTTATGTTTCCTACCTCCTAGCCAGAGGAGCAAAATGCTTTCAAAAAAGAAAGCACAATGATTTCTTTTAAAATAAAAATGCAGGACACTATGTTTAGTAGTGTCTTAATAACAAAGAGTGCACTACTTTTGTAGAAATTCATGCGTGTAACTGTGATGATGAGATGCTTTTATGACTTGTTCATTGTTGATGGCACTATTTTTATATAACTGTGGGGTTAGTAAGATTTGGCTTTATTATTTTATCATGTCTGAGATTATGAAGCAAAAATGACTTCCAGTGTAATTTTTTTGGGGGGGTTAATTTTAAGTGTATAATATTCAAATGAAACAGAAAACAAAAACAACTAATTAGAGTAATATAATTGTTTCAGATACCAGTACATTTTAATCACTGGAAAATATTACCTGGCCATAAACTACATGTGGTAATGAAAAGATTTAAATTTAAAAATAACTCTCATTTAAAAGTCAGCAACTCAGAAGGTGTCAGCACAAGGTAAGCTATGTCAATCAAAGTATGAAAACGTCATCAAACTATGACAAAGCATCAGGTGACAGCTCCAGACATTGGCTGTGAGAATTAACTACAGACTGCTAATATGAAATACCCACTTCAAAATATGTCAAAGGAAATTACAGTCATTTGGCTCCTATTGACCTAGGAGTTCCTTTGAACATTCTGGAATTATACCCTTGGAAAAAAAAGGATTACTTATGACTAATGAACTCTTTCTGTAAATATCACAGACAACTGAGCATTCTGTAACTGGGCATCTGGAAGTCCAATAAGGTAGCAATGTTAGTAAAATCTCATCTAAATTTTTACAGTTGCAGAGATAAATTTTATTCTATTCTATATGATGTGTTCTATAAAAACACAACTATCTTTGAAAGTCTTAAAATCCAATTAATTAAAAAATCTTTCCGTCTTAGATATCAAATACTTTCTAATTACTTTCTAAGAATCTAAAGGCACATCATACTATTGCTCTTATACAGTATTGATATAATTTACTGTCATACTTCTAAAAGATGAATCCTAGCTGAGCGCCAGTGGTTCATGCCTATAATGCTAGCTACTCAGGAGGCTGAGATCTGAGGATCGTGGTTTGAAGCCTGGGCAGGAAAGTTTGTGAGACTCAGGTCCAATTAACCACCAAAACACCCAGAAGTAGAGCTGTAGCTCAAGTAGTAGTGAGCCAACCTTAAGCACAAAAACTCAAGGACAGCACCCAGGTCCCTGAGTTCAAGCTCTAGAATTGGCACAAAAAAATAAATAAACATATGAACCCTGAAAAGAAAATTCCAGATAAAAATGAGTCAAT